CCAACCTCGTGCTGACCCCTTCTCCTCCCTGGCTGGCCGTCCTGGCTCGGGCATCCTTCCCAATCCAGGTGGCATCTCCACCGCCGTAGGGCGGGCCATGGGGGGCGTGGGCGGCCGCGCAGGGCCAGGGACCGGCCGCGCCAGCCCCTCCCGCCACGCTCCTCCCGCCACCTCCTCCTCATGTGCCTGGCTAAGGCCGCGCCTCTCTCTCAGCACCTCCGCTAGCTGCCGCAGGCTCTCCACCTCGTCGTCCGTCATGAAGGAGCCGCGGTCCCTCTCCAAGGCTTCGAGCGACTCGACGATCGCGTCGCACGCCTCCCCCAGGTCATCGAAACCCTCGGAGTGCTGTAATCTCTCGGCCACGTCCAGCGGGTGATCCTCTCCACTGGCCCTTGCCTTCAGGAACTCCAGCGCCAGGGCCGCCTCCCCTCGTCGACGCCAGCGCTCCCGGGCCGCCCCATTCAGTAGGCCCCCCAGCTCTCCTCGAGTGATCGTGTCCACCCACGGTGGCTGCGTTGGGTATGTTGGGGAAGTCGAGGGCGGGTACCTCCGAGCGTGTCCTTCACCTCGCACTCCTGCCTCCTCGACCCCCCGCGTCAGAATGCACAGGGGATGGTCCTCCCTCCCCGTCGTGCCCCGCGCCAGCGCCTGAGCCACCGGGCTAGCTGTCTGGCCGTACTCGTCCATTCCGTCGGGTATCTGGTTCGCCGTCCGCACGATGATGGCGGGCGCTCCAGCCGTGGCAGCCTCGGCACGCACCCGGTCGTCGATCACCGGCCCCAGGTTGGATGGGACTGTCGCCTGGGCTTCGAGCCCTGGGATATGATACGTAGTCCAGCCTTCCTCCTCAAAAGCCAGCTGGCACCCGTAGCAATAGTACTTCTTCGCCATCTCCGTACCCCGTGGGCCTCGCACCAGGGCCGTTAGCCATGCCCCACTGGCCGACACCAGGGGCAGGAGTGGTCTCCCAGCCGTCGGCGTAGGGGACCTCGACCTGTACCGCGTGGGCTGCTCGGATGCCATTCCGGCCACCACAGGCGCCGGTCCCTCAGCAACGGCGACAAGTCGTACGGCCTCCTCATTCGCCAAGTCGTGCTCCAAACACGTCAGCACCCCACGGTTCAGAACCCGACCCAACGCGTGGCAGCCCAGGTGCGCACACTTCTTCACGCCTCTCTCGCGCTCATAGGCGTTCGTGTGCTGCCAGCACAAGTTGACCACCTTCTCCGCCCCCTTGACATTCGACTTCTCGCCATCCTCCTTGACCAGGCGGACTGGGGCACCTCGGGCTCGGTCTCGACACTTCTCCTTGCAAAGCTGGAAGATCGTGTCACCCTCCTGGTACAGCACCTCGTTGGCCATGCAGCGCTGGTGCTCCGGCTCCGACTCTGTCTCCGAGTTCGGGTCCTTCAACAGGGCGGCGGGGATGTCTGCTCTGCTTCGCCGGCCGCGCTGGCAACCCCTCTGGCCACAACGCTTGAGGGACCCGCATAGCCTGGCACAACCCTTTAGCCCCAAGGCGGCACAGCCCCGCCCACACGATGCAGCCGCTGCCCCCACCGCCCGACCTGCCCAACAAGGCTTCGGCGCCGCCTCCACCAGCGCCTCCAGGTTGGTGTCCGTCTCAGCTGTCACGTACCCGTACGCCGGGGCATGCACGGCGTAGTTACCTTCGTCCGTGCAGGGCGTGTCCCTACACAGGTGCACCACCTTGTCCTGAGAGTCCTCCAGCAGGTCGCGCAGTCGCCTCGACGTAGTAGCAAGCACCTCGCGGTACGGCCACGCCACTCCTGCCTTCTTATACTTAATCCCAGTATTCAAAGGTGGTCTCTCCAGCCTCGCGGCGGTGTCGCCCACCTTGATGATCAGGTGATGCGGCACCTTGTCGGCCCCCTTCGCGCGCAGCTGAGCATAGAACTCGTTCTCCACGGCAATAGCGGTGGCTGGTCCTCTCAGCTCTGGGACCACCCCTTCCTCAGCGGCCGTGACCTGCGGCTGCGTGGTGGGGCAGCAAAATCCCAACGCCCGACCCAGGCAGCGGAGGGGCGCGCAGACCAACACGTCCACTGCCGAGGCGATGGAGTGGAGACCATACCCCAAGCCGATGACCAACGCCACGATCAAACCTGCGAAGGTGGTCCAGCACAGCAAGGGCCAACCCGTGCCGAACGCCGCGTACCCCACCGTGTTGAGGCCGCTTCCCACGAGGCCACCTCCGCCCCACATCAGATCAGACCACTGTATCTCCGTCGGCGGCAGGTCAGTAATCCAACCTCCGAGCCAGCTCACTCCGAACTTGACCCCTCCGAAGCTGAACCAGCCTCGCATCTCCTCCTCCGTATCCTCCGAGCCGCCCGCGCCCTCAGGACTTCGCCGCAGCGGGGGGTCCCGCCGACGACTCCCGAACCAGCTCCACACCCCGCCGCTGCGGCGCCGTGATCCCTCCTCACCTCCGTCGCCGGAGGCTGATGGCGGTGTCTCCAGGTGTGGCTGGCCTGCTGCAGGCGCCGTCGGCGGCTGCTGACGCCCCTTGCCTCCCGAGGGCAGGGCGGCCGCTGGCCCTGAGGGCCCTCCTCTCCCCTTCCCGGCAGCGGGGACGGGCCCAGCTGGGGGGGGGGGCTGGCGCTGCGGCCACTCCGTCGCCGCCGCCGTGCCGCGGCGCCGCTGGTCCTCCTCCAGCGCCCGCAGCAGAGGCGCGTACGCCCCTCCGTCGGCCGTCACGGCCTCCGCGGGCAGCGTCCTGTCCGCGGCGCGGGCCGCCGGCGGCAGAGCCGGCGTCGCCGGCTGTGCTCGCCATCTGCGGCCAATCTCGACGGCGGCCACGGCTCCGATGAGCATCGGCAGCAACGCCATCATGTACTCACGGCTGCGCTGCCTCCGGCCAGCGCCTGCGGGCACTGGGCTGGTGCAGCCTCGCACCTTTCTCCTCACCTCTCCATGGCTCTCGGCCCCTGTGCGGACACTGGTCCGCAGGGCAGGCCGCGCTCCCCCGCGCGGATCGCCCCCTCAAGGGCCCGAGAAGGAAACTTGAGCCCCAGAGGGGCCGCGGAGAGGGGGAAAGGGACAGAAGGCAAGAGAGACCCTTCCCCCTCGCCAGGCACTTACTCCCTGAAACCCTACGTTTTACGCACGCTCAAACTCTCACGAGCCCCCTTAATCAGGCATGGGCTGTAACCAGCGAGCCTGCCTGCAGCACCGGGCATGGAGGCAGAGGAGGCAGAGGAGGAGGAGGAGGAGGAGGAGGAGGAGGAGGAGGAGGAGGAGGAGGAGGAGGAGGGGATTAGGGGTAACGACAGGGGGGACTGATTCAGAGGGGGAGCATCAACTCCCAACGGCCCATTTTTCGTACATCGGGGCGTGCCCCCTCCCCATTACGCCGAGAGAGTGAGTGAGGTTTCGTGGAGGAGGAGGAGGAGGAGGAGGAGGAGGAGGAGGAGGAGGAGGAGGAGGAGGAGGAGGCGGAGGAGGAGGAGGAGGAGGAGGGGGGGGGGCAAGCTAGGTGCGCTCGCGCGCCACATCTGACATCCTTACCCCTCCCTCCCATCCCCTCCCACTGCGCTGATTTTCCCTGCCCGCCAACGGATGTCACGGGAGGGGGAGCACAGGGGGGGGGGGGGAGATGGGCAGAGGAGGCCTTCGGAGGCGGGAAGCTGCTCCGCAGCCTCCGCTTGGGCTCTCCACCCCGCGCGCTGCAGGACTCAGGAGGGGAAAGAACACACAGGCACCGTGAACCGCTGATTCCCCCGCGACGATGTGGGAAACTATGGGAAGTAGGGGGAAAACGAGAACCCCAAATCTGTGGGAAAATACGGAGAGTATGTTTATGTGTGTGTATTCATTTGCGTTGCGGCACCGCCTGATCCCGGGGCTTTGCCCTCTCTTGGCCTTGACGTGAGGCCCCGCCTTCTTTTTTCCTTCCTCTGTTCATTAAAGCTGTGCGCGGCGCGCTTAGCTTCGACCGGAAGAGGCTCGCTCTCGACCCGCGGATCAAAAAGTGCATTCATTTGCGTGTCCTGGGGCCCCTTCAAGGACCAGCCTCTGCTCCGCGCGGCCCTCCGTGCCGCGGCGGATCGGCGGGGGCGCTCGGCGGGTCCCCCGTGCGCGGGCAGGCCTCGCGCCGCCCTCGGTGCGGCGGCGGCCCCGCCGCGGGCGCTCGAGGCGGAGCGGCGCCAGCGGCACAGAGTGGGCCAACACTTGTTTTTTGTTGGTCTGCAGGGCGAGAGCGAGCCGGGTGGTGAAGTCCCGGGAGGAGAGAATGGGCCAACACAGCCAAGTCGCTGAAATAAGGAGCACAGAACGGGCCAACACAGAATGGGTCAACACAGAAGGGGCCAACACTTTTTTGTTTGATCTGCAGGGCGAGGGCGAGCCTCTTCCGCTAAAAGCTCCGCGGGACGCGCACAGCTTTCATTGACAGAGAAGGGGCGGGAGCAGGCGGGGCCTCACGCGGCCAGAAGCGGGCGAAGCCCGGGGATCAGGCGGTGCCGAACGGGACGTGCCCGGTGGTGAAGTCCTGGGAGGAGAGAATGGGCCAACACAGCCAAGATGCTGAAATAAGGAACTGTTTGGGTTCGGAGAGGGCTCGATGCCAGTGGCCTTAGAACAGGCCTGTCCCCCTGCAGGGGGATTTTGGACAAAAAGTAAAATATCCCAAAAATATTCAAAAGATGCAGAAAAAAACAAAAAAAATGTCCCCAGACTATTTTTTTACTATTTTTGAATAGTCCCCCTGTAGAGGGACAGGCCCGACTTAACAGTGGCACAGAATGGGCCAATACGGGACGATCTGGCGATCAGAAAGCCGCCGCTCGTGCAGGGCTGAGCGATCCAGGCGGCGCCAGAAGCTAGCGCCGGGGTCGTCACGACACGAGGCCGCCGTGCGGCAATCTGGACGCAGGGGAGCTCGCCGAAGTGCGCCGGGCCGGCACAGGATGCCCACTCCAGGGGGCACAGGGGTTCCTCACTGGGTGCCCGTGCCGATGGAGGGAGGCGGACAGCAGGTGCTGCAGGAGGGCGGCAGCGTCGCGGCCATCTACTTCGTGAAGCGCGGCTCGCTGTCCTGCCGCTCGCTCGTGCCCGGGGCCCGCGCCAGCCGGCAGCTGGGGCCCGGGGACTGCTTCGGGGAGCAGGCGCTCGTGGAGATCGGGGCACAGAGGAAACGGCAGGCGGTCAGGAGTCTTGGCTCAGCGTGTCGCTCCGCGGGGTCTGGCCCGCCACGCTTCGCTTCGGCGCGGCACGCTGCCCGCGTCCCCATTCC